AAAAATAACAACACTTTGTCAGGACCATGAGGCGATCATTCCTACCAACTTTCAGTTCAATCGGTCCAGCAGAACTTGACTTTAAGTTTGAAATAGGTTTTCAAAATGGCGGCCGTGGCGGCCATATTGGATTTCTGATCGACCCGAAAAATAACAACACTTTGTCAGGACCATGAGGCGATCATTCCTATCAACTTTCAGTTCAATCGGCCCAGCAGAACTTGACTTTAAGTTTGAAATGTAAAATGTTAACGGACGACGGACGACGGACGACGGACGACGGACGACGTACGACGTACGACGGACGACGACGGACGAAAACGGATAGCAATAGGTCACTTGAGCTAAAGCTCAGGTGACCTAAAAAGCAAATACTGAAATGAACAAAAGGCAATAAATTTTGAAAAAATCACAGAATCAAAATTCTTTTAAGGGAGACACAACTTCATATCATGATTATCATGTATACCAAGTTTCAAATAGATCAGTCGAAAAATGTAGGAGGAGATTGTCGGACAAACAAAGTTTACGCCGGACAGCCGGACAACGCCATACCATAATACTACCGTCAAATTTGACGGTCGTATAAAAAGGAGGGAGGAATGTAATGGAACTGAACTTAGTCAATTGTCTGCGACCAAGCCCCATACCTCAATTAGTAGGGTGTATGTTTAGTTAATGGAGGGTCCCTGCTTCAAATCCTGGTCTGGCAAAATATCAATCAGTCATTGATACAATACGAACTGATCAATAGCATCATATGAATTATGTAATGGGACAAAAGTGAAACATAAAATCATTCATTGAGACACAAATTTCTGACAGAATTTTGGACAGAAAATAATCTCTTTCTTACCAGTAAAACAAGCCTCCTGTTGATGATGACTGTTAACATCTTGTTTTATAATTTCTTCCAGGTACTCCTGTGTCCAAAATATTTATAAGACCAATCCTGCAATCGAAAATTTGTTATTACAATTGACAATAGGGATTATGCACATTTTTATATGTAAAAGCACATTGAAGTATTATGGATCTATTACTACCAACCTACACCCGAAGAAAATGTTCAAAATATCCAGCAGATAGTTACCAGATTACCGCCATTGATAACAAACATATTGTTGGGAGATCAGGAATTTCCTCTCATTAAAAAAATAAGTTGCCAAACATGCAGTTTCTCTCCCTATTGTTTGACATATCCGATATCACCACAAAGGGTGTGAATAATTCTTTTTATCTCACACTGCCTGGGAAAAGTGTTCAAGATGAAAGGCATATATATATATACATGAAGATAATTAAACAAGGATTGCAGCCATTTAATCTGCCTTGAGATTCACAAGAAGAAGATTATAAGAAATTATCCTTATTTACTCAAAAGTTTATAATCAGCAAATTCATTATTGGAATGACATGTGTATATATATATCTCGCTGAAAATTAGAGGTGTGGCAATAACTGAAAACATTGATTTAAATGAATATTGACACAGGGCTGATTAAAGAATGGATAATCAATTTTCTTTATACCTGATTGATTTGTAAATTTGTCACAGAGAATTTAATTTAAATGCAATTTGGAACTTACATTTCAAGATAACAATTGGATTACAATCTGAACAGTTTAAGTTAATTGGTTAATCTTTCTATTCAGAAGCTTCATGTGTAGGTAACTGAATAGGACAATACAGAAAATTATTTATTAAAAAGGTGTACAGATTTACCATTGTACCCCTGTATATTTTTAGTACCATGGCTTGTAAATTTGTACAGATACGATTGTACTATCGTCAGTCTTTTAATTTATTGATATTTACCATCTACCACATTCAGATGGCATTCATGAGCCGATTATTGACGTCACCATTATGATTCCGTCATAATTGTTACATAATGGATACTGCTGACCCTTTTTGGATGATATTCACTGACCAAGCCTATACGATAAACATTTTGTGAGCCACTTCGGTAAATAACCCCAATCCTTCAGACCTCAAATAGATGGATGCAAATGCAGTTCCAGTTGCATGCAAGAAATTGTCATTTTCAGGATTGTTATACAAGTAACAAATCAATATAGAAATAGAGTATGATTAAGCTTAGTCATTATAAAACGCATTAATGTTAATTGTCATCCATCAAAATGGAAATGAAATATGGAGAACGATCTCAACGGAAAATATTAGGCCTACACTGTATGTACATTTAAAGTGTTAATGTGAACAGATTTAACATAACAATAAGTATTTATTAATTTACTAAGTAATCATCAATTGCAAAACTGTTTGCATTTCATTTGCGTCCAAAAACAATCAGTTTAATCCAGTTAAGAGTACATTTTCTGGATCTTTATAATACTGGAAGAGACCTTGATACCGATAAAGGTCCCGGGTTGGAGGATTGGGCTTGGGATTTAGTAAGTTCTTCTTCTTCTTCTAGTAATGTGCCAGGCTCCATGTGGAGCATATTCGCACATGGTTAAAAGATTTAAAATCATGTTGTGGTGAGGCTCACATCAGGATAAAAATAGTCTTGGCTACCTATGGGTGGAACTTTCCGATCCTGGACTTCAAGGTTTCCAGGGTGTCGGCATCCACAATACTTGCTGGCAGTTTGTTCCATATCCAAATACCGGCTGGGAAGAAAGAATCCTGGTACAATCCCAAGCTACAGTATGGCTGGAGGTATCGGGTGGTGTGTCCTCTAGTCCTTGTACCAGTTGACTTAAGCAGAGTTGTTGGTATTGCGATTAGATATGTTACGCCTCAGGAAAGCAGTGGTATTGTTCGCCTTCCTTGTAACACTGGTGACGTGACTGTTCCATGACAGTTTCTGATTGATGGTGACTCCCAGGTACTTTGCCTTGTCCGTCATGTTGAGATGTTGTCCATGAATGGTGTACTTATTAGCAATAACATTGCATTTGTTAGTGATTCGTATCACTTCGCACATATCAGGATTGAAACTCATTCCCCAGACATTTTCCCACTGCTGCAACGAGTCAAGGTCTTCCTGTAGGTATTTTATATCCCTCTTTCTGTTGATAGTCCGATACATCAGGCAGTCATCTGCAAACAGTCTCATTGTTGAACTCACTCTGCCTAGTAAATCGTTGATATAAACTAAAAACAGGAGAGGTCCCATGACCATGCCTTGAGGAACTCCGGTTGACACTGGAGCTGGAGAGGATTTCTCACCATCCACCACTACCTGTTGTGATCAGTCTTGACAAGAAGTCCTCAATCCATGACAATGTAGTTCCTCTCACGCCGAAGTGATGCAGTTTAGCTGATAGAAGTCGATGGGGGACCTTGACGAATGCCTTACTGAAGTCGATGGGGGACCTTGTCGAATGCCTTACTGAAGTCGAGCAGAACAGTGTTAATCTGATTTCTGTCATTGAGGCCCTTCGCAAGGTCATGGACTGTTGTTATTAGTTGGCTCTCACAAGATCTTTGTTTCCTGAAGCCATGTTGCCGGTCTGAAAGGATGTTGTTTTTCTCAAGGTGTGTGATGACATGGCTGTGGATTATGTGTTCTAGGCTCTTGCAGCATACTGGCTTTGTGAGTATTCAATCCCTGCATCAGCTTTAGCACGCCTTTCTCCGATACCTTGATGTTGGGCACCGTTTGATTGTAGGCGACACAGAGGGTGGGTACTGTTGCGTCGTCTTCTTCTACAGTGAAAACTGAAGAAAACTGTCAGTTCAGGATATCTGCTTTCTCTTTGGGGTTGGAGTGCATAGTGCCAACAGCCTTGAGCTATGAGACTCCCTATCTGTCACTCTTCTTGCTCTTAATGAAGGTGTAGAGTTTCTTGCAGTTCTTTCCAGCTTCGCTAACCATATTGTTTATGTATCTGTTGTAGGACTGCTTACATGCCTTCTGGCTCTCGCGTTGGATCATGCAATATCTTTCCCAGTCATCAGCTTTTTGCGTCTTCTTCGCCCTTCGGTGCGCCCTTTTCTTACGTCTGCTTAGCTTTTTTTTTTATCACACCATGGTTTGTTGAACCTGACTTCGTTGAGTGAAATCCTCAGAGAATCTTGTTAGCTCCTCTTCCATAGCTGGTAGGTTGGCTTTAGACCACAAGTATATTAATCTCTTGGCTGGTTTCCTACGCTGTGGTATGATGTTGGTATCAATCATCACAACATCATGATCACTATAAAGGCCCGGAAGGGACGAGCACTTACCTATGAGTTGATAATAGAGTTTTAAAAGTTTTAAAGTCAGACATTTCGACCAGATCTTCCTGAATGTTGTTCCAATCAGTCGGGGTGCGTGGAAAGAATGAGTTTGACTTTCTACCATGCAAACGACTGTCAGTCTTCAAATCCCGGACTTAATGCTTCCAATGATATCGATAAGCTAGCATGTGTAGTAATCTAACCGATTATACCCGGCCTCCTGTGACAACGATTCAGTGTACAGATCCCAATACCATCTTTCTGTACGGCGTTTGAAGTTTTTAATTTTTGTAACTCACTGGGCTAAAAAAAATCACTAAAATGGTTTCGGCCATGTTGTCCTCACGGAATTCGATTCTCTAAGTCCGTGCTGTCAGTGTCAAGTGTCAGTATCACTTGACTGTCAAGTTATTGGTCATCAGTCTTTATGAGTGGTTATATTAGGCCCTGTCAACATCAAAATTGTATTCTGAACATCAAACCTACCGTATCTATCATACCCAGTGACAGGAAATGGAACATGGTACAACCACTTGCTCAGTGAGTCGTTGGACAGGAACACTAGTACTCCGAGCTTCAATCGGAAAAGACATCCAGCATCACATGACCGGTGCGTCTAATTACCCAATACTACCCAATACCACCCATTATTAATTAACTATGTAGATATTGCTGTAATATGTAATAAATGGCCCGTGCAACATAATCAACTATCTCAGCCAATATCGGAATTGTTACACACAGTCGGCCAATATTGAAAAAAGTCGGCCTTTATGGAAAATATTGGCCAATACGAGAAAACGCGCGTAATCGAATGCGCCCGTTAAACCGTTCGGAACTCAACGGAAGGTAACGTCTTATCCTACGGCAAACCCCGATATGTTCCTGGCGCAGACGACAACATACATAAGATCTCCCATGATCAGTTTGTGCACCAATCTGAAGATTGAATCTGAATTGTCGCAATAAGAACAACGATGAAAATGTGACAAATGTTCAATTTAAATTTGTTATTGTTTAACAAACATTAAACAAAAGTTATTTTCTGCTTAAACATGTAAGAATTACCTGTTTCATTGTTTTTATATCTGCATAGTTAATTAAAAAAGGGTCATTAATTAGCTAATTCAAGTTATTAGGCCTCGGTCAGTCATATTGGCCCTTGTCCTGCGGCCTCGGGCCAATATGACAGACCTCGGCCTAATAACTTTTTTAATTAACTATGTAGATATAAAAACAATGAAACAGGTAATTCTTACATGTTTAAGCAGAAAATAACTTAATAATACTACCCAAAACTACCCCATACGACCCAGTTATGAACCAAATACTTATTTATTACTGTGAAATATCACCTTTTTAGTCGTTATTTACTTCCATCTGCCATATTTTATCGGGAAATATGCGATTTGGTGCAGAAAACATCACCGAATTGCCGTGACTATGACCCAATACTACCCCATAGCACCCAATACTACCCCATACCACCCAATACTACCCCAACGACCCAGTTATGAACCAAATACTTCTTTATTACTGTGAGATATCACATTTCTTGAAGTTATTTACTTCTATGCGTCACATCCTATCTAGAAATATGTGATTTGGTGCAGAAAAATCACCGAAAATGCCGTGACTAGGGGTTCGACGATTTACACGAACGGGCAGGAACGGGCAGAAATCTATTAATTATTATATATACATTAGTGAATATATATATTAGATACATTTAAGTATCATTATCGGGTATAAGATATATTTTTTAAAAGAATTGCAATTACATGATACTATATTAATTCTATTCATGTCATAAAATGGTGTTATTAAGATCGTATATTTAAATTTAACAGGAAATATTTAGAAAATTTGAAATTACTTTTCAAAAATGTTAGTTAAACCTTCAGTTAAATTAGATACTCAAATACTACGATATTCAAAAAGTATGTGAATTGTATATGATTCGAAGTTACTTGATTAACTCACAGATAGTCTGTTTTGGACAAGCTAGATATAGTTCTCTGACCTATCTTATGAAGGGTAGACGAGTAGGTTGTCATTAATCAAAGGAATTACGTTACGCTTCTTCTACATCAATCCAGAGACGTATATATATATTACTTCTTTGACCCTTACATATTACGTAATATATACGTCTTTGATCATCCGAAAGCAAAATACTAAATGACATGAAAACTTGATTCGACTCCCAGAGATACTGTATACACATATATACTTTTAATAACCCTGAGTTTGTGACACCACGGAATTAGATTAGAAATTAGTCAAATCTTTTAGAATGGATGATGAAGTTTTGTACAGATGATAAATTAAGGCATTTTCGTCATCTATAAGTTCATCATTCCCGAACAAAAGTAAATCAGTTGAGAGTGGATGGTTGATTTCGTTGAATGTATGTAAACGTAGTGGAGAAAAAAGACAACAATGTAATAGATAATGTTCATTGGTTTAATTTGCTTGCATGCAAGAACACAGAGGACTATCAATTAGATTTCTCTGGTATAGATAAAACTTAAGGGAACTACACTCCATTCTTAATCTAGCATGATGTATCTGCCCCAGTCTGGTATCATTTAAGTAGAAAATTTTAATTTTGTGAGAGGGCTTGCGTAGATAGGTTTTAAGTTTATAAATTGAAGGGTCGATCTTGACATAGTCAGGCAAGGAGTTCCAGATACTGATGACAGATGGCAAAAAAGATTTATTATAGAGACTCGTATGACTAACTAGTGGACGAAAATTATTTCCCGTGCGAGTATCATGGTTGTGGTAATTACGGTTACGCTGAGGTAGAATATCTAGAAGATATTGAGGAGCCAGACCTCGAGGGGAAGCCAACCTGTTTCAGTATACAGTTTAATTCTACTTGTGAGTCGAGTGCCGCCAGTGACTGTGCGTGCTGCTTCTAATTGAAGATTTTCTAATAATTCAGACTGAGCTTTAGTAAGGCAGTCCCATAAGATATCGCCATAGTCTCATATAGGTCGAATAAGAGTGTAGTACATAGTTTGGAGACTATACCTGTCCAAAGAGAATTTAAATTTACGTAAGATATTTATTTTAGGTGAAATCTTAGATATCAAATAACTGATGTGTTCATTCCAATGACCATTTCCAGAGAGAAGAATACCTAAATGCTTGTGTGTAGTAACTTCGGAGATGTGAGTATTGTTCATATTTAAGGGAGCTAGGATGAAACGGTTTAATGGTTTTACTAAAAGCGTTTGATACTGTTTGGAGGGTAGGTTTATGGAAGAAATTATTAAAGAATAATATCACAGGAAAGATATTTAATGCTATAATTAATCTGTATGCAAACACTAAATCTTGCGTAAAAACTAGCAATGGTATGATTGATTTTTTCACATCTCACGTCGGGGTAAACAAGGTGAAAATCTCATTCCGTGGTTTAACTAACATTTTTGAAAAGTAATTTCAAATTTTCTAAACATTTCCTGTTAAATTTAAATATATGATCTTATAATAACACCATTTTATGACATGAATAGAATAAATATAGTATCATGTAATTGCAATTCTTTTATCAAATATATCTTATACCCGATAATGATACTTAAATATATCTAATATATATATTCACTAATGTATATATAATAATTAATAGATTTCTGCCCGTTCCTGCCCGTTCGTGGAAATCGTCGAACCCCTAGTCACGGCAATTCGGTGATGTTTTCTGCACCAAATCGCAGATAGGATGTGACGCATAGAAGTAAATAACTTCAAGAAATGTGATATTTCACAGTAATAAAGAAGTATATGGTTCATAACTGGGTCGTATGGGGTAGTATTGGGTGCTATGGGGGTGGTATGGGGTAGTATTGGGTGCTATGGGGTAGTATTGGGTGCTATGGGGTAGTATTGGGTCATAGTCACGGCAATTCGGTGATGTTTTCTGCACCAAATCGCATATTTCCCGATAAAAAATATAGCAGATGGAAGTAAATAACGTCTAATAAGGTGATATTTCGCAGTAATAAAGAAGTATTTGGTTCATAACTGGGTGGTATGGGCGGGGTAGTATTGGGTCATAGTCACGGCAATTCGGTGATGTTTTCGGCACCAAATCGCATATTTCCCGATAAAATATGGCAGATGGAAGTAAATAACGTCTACAAAGGTGATATTTCACAGTAATAAATAAGTATTTGGTTCATAACTGGGTCGTATGGGGTAGTTTTGGGAGGTATTGGGTAATTAAACGCGCCCTCTCATGACGACTTCTTCCGGTTGTCGGGGGAAATGCTGTACGCCGTTCCCGGACCCGAACTAAAATCCCGATCCAGGGATATAAAGATATTTTAATATGTCAACAACAGAATCGTTTATAACATTTTAAAAGGTTTACAATAATACCAACTATCATTTTCTCTAAGTGTGACATTTGGAATGAAATCGCAAGAATCCCAAATAATTTTGAAATCGACGATAATATTCCAACTAAGGGGTAAAACTTGTAACCGCAGCCAGTCAACCGTGTACTGAAAATTGTCTATTGGCATACTTATACCAGTTCTGCATAACAAAATACATAATTGCATGTAATTTATTAGTTTCAGTGAAAATACCCGACTTTTTTTCACATGAAATGTCGATATCATTTCAAATTTCATTTTTTTTTCATGCCTTTCTATAAACAGTAATGTAAAGATCTGTCAGTATATTTAGTTTGTTTTAGTATTTTGATATCTTTGAAAATAACTATGTAACAATATTTTATAGAAGCTGTCTGCCACTATAAATAATAATTATTATGTATGTTGAACTTGTGTTGTTTTCTATATAAATGGAAATACAATTCTACTGGTCAATTATATATATAATATGATACACACATATCCTGTTCTGTGCATGTTTTATTCTGAATTGTGATATCTTGTAATAGTTTGCCTATTTTACCTGAATAAATATTATTATTATTATTGTAACATACTGTACAAGAAACTGGGAAGATTTTTTTTATGGTAAAGATGTAAATGTTTATGATGGTACTTGACGAAGTTGTTCCAGTCCAAGAAGTTCGTATTAAAAAACGATCAGAACCATGAATGTCTGCTGAATTTCGGGTCTTGTCTAGCAGAGATTTATTTTTACATGCATTTAAAAAAAATCGGGTGAAACTGAAGATTACAAAACTTTCTGCTATTACAGATTCAGTTTAAAGGAAATGTAAAAAAAAACAAAGTTGATTATTTTGATGAAAAAATACATGAAAATAAGAACAACTATAAAATATATGGAAAAGTTTTTAAAAAAACCCCACCTTGGCTATGAAACGGATACAAAATCGGATGCAAAAGTCGAATTTCACATAAACAACATAAATTGCCATGAGATTCTCAAATGCCAACTATTTAAACTTATATTTTACAACTATTGCCACCAAACTTGAGGAAAGACAGCCAAGCTGTAAGGGATTTTACAATACTACTTCTTATTTATTTAGAGGCTTATACTCAAAGTGGAAACCCCTCGAAGTAAAACTTCATTTGAAACAGATGAGTGAATCATGCTCGCGTTCTTAAAGATGCAGCGTCATTGTTAACAATTCCAA